GTATATAATAGCTGCTCTAACGATGGCCTTTTTTATTGCCCTTACCGTCGCTGTTTAATGCATATGTACATACACACCCAGATATGTGCGGGTCGGCGGTGCGGCGCAGCGGCGGGTGTCGGGGCCCCCGCCGGGTGCGGGGGGAAGCGGCCCCGGGGCGCCCCAGCCCTTTGTTACCCCGCGGCCCCGGGCAGCGCTCTGCGCCGGGCTCCGTCGGGCGGCCGTCCTGCTGCTGATGCTGCTGCTGAATTCCCCCTCCCTTTTTATTTTTGCCCGTGACAGCGTGACCTTGCTCGTGAAACAGAGCTGACGCTCAGAAATCCGTAAATGGGGGAAAACGTAGGGGTTTTAAAATTATTTTTAGTTGGTTAAAAAAGGAGCTTTAGTGGAAGATGGTGTCTCCTCTCTCCGAATGCCTTCTGAAACGCCTTTTATTCTTGCGTGGTTTCTAAACGAAGCTTTTCTCCACAAAATCACATCCAAAAATCATGACCAGTTGCCTGGTGCAAACTTCAGCACGCTGTGGTCCCTGAAATGAATTGTATTTTTAGATCTCTGCAGATTTATGGCTTTTGCCTCCGGCGTTGCTGGGACCGTTTGTCATGAGTGAATATAAGCATGTGTGTACGTTGCTGAGAGGATGGATCTTTGGCATGGGGCCCTCCTTGCTGTAATTGTCGTTCTTTTCTCCATCCTGAGCATTTCTTTTCCAGGGCTGAGCAGAGCAATCACAAAATTCACAAAACATGGTTACACAGAGCGAGGCCCCCAGCCAAAAGATAGGCTCTTGCTGCCCTGATTTTGAGAAGCTGAGCTCCCTTCGTGCCTATTGATCTAATTTTGGCCTTGGGTTCTTCAGCTTGCAACATGTTTCCACATACCTGATTTGCTCATTGTTGGTGAAACAGTGTTTTTGTCGAGTTTTCTGTTTGGTTGAAAAAGCAGGATACTGTGTCTAGCTGTGTGAGAGCCGCAGCACTCTGAGCCGTATAGTAAAGGCAATTAGATGATTTCTGTGGGAGTGTCTGTTTCAGAAACCATGGATATGCAAATATGTATCTTCCAAATCCTAGGAGCTGGAAATGAAATCTGACCTCCGAGGATAAGAGAACTAAACTGTTGCATTAATTCCTTCCTGATTGTAACCAGAGTCATTCTGGTAATCTAGTGGGAAATCGCTCAAGTGACAATCAATTTACAGTGTTTGGTTTATACAGCTAAACGTTTCAAGGCGGATTCTGTTACACTGGTTGAAAATTAAATAACGTTTGAGTTAGTGAACACTCCTGCTGAAATCGTAACATCTCACATGGAGTAACACGTTGCTCAAAAGAGAGGAGGCTATTGGTGTCTGCTCCTGAGGGTTGCTTTTTGCGGTAAGAAAGTCATTAAGAACAAGCTTTGTTTTTACAGTAACTTCATTCATGCCAACACCACCTCTAGTAAATATTTATTCAAGGGATTTAACACCTTTGTTTTTGCTGTTAAGAGATCAAAATGTTGGTGTGAAGGCAGACTAAGTAAACATAATCGTATGTCCTGTCGACTGATTATGATCTAAAATGGTTTGCCAAAATCCAAAGTAAAATGCTGCTCATGCTGCAAGACATGTTTCTTATCAATGCTGTGCTTTCACTGCCTCTCTCCTGTGATAGTAATAACTTTATCCTTTTTTGGAGGGGGGGGGGGTATCTCACTGGAAACTAGCAGATAGTGACTATACTGATTAATAAGACAGAGCTCACTGTACCTTCTGTTTATTTTTAATAATAAGGAATAAGCCAGAATAGGAAATCTACTGCCTTAAAATAAAACTATAGAGCTTCCCTGATTGTTTTTCTTGTAAGTAGCATAATAGAAGACCAGTGGCAAAGTTATTCTAAATGTCTCAGGGTTTCCTCTTTTCACTGAATTTGTAAGCTACTGTCCTTGTGAGCTTTCAGTGGGCATGGTGAATGAGCCTTCTCAGACACTTTTTCCCCCTCTTTCCTTAATATGTATTTGACTTTTCTTTCTAGGGGGAGCTGGAAAAACTAAATCAATCTACAGATGATATTAATCGGAGAGAGACGGAGCTGGAGGTACAACATTCATTCTTGCATTTTCCTTTTGTGCATGTTGGATTTTATGAACAACAGAACAGTATTTTTGAGTAGGTTCCCATCTGAATTGTGCTATCCTGAATGGTAATTTGGCAGCAAGAGTCTGGTGATGATTTCTTAAAGGTGTGAACTGAGCTAACAGCTGGAACAGAAAGGGAGAAGGTAGAGGGATGCTGACAGTGTGAAGACCGAATGTGGAGGAATATCCATCCCCATCCCCCCCCCCCCCCCC